TGTACTTAGAAACCTTGGCGTGCCACAAAAGAGGGAGCCTACCTTTGCCCAGAGGTGTGACTTCTAGTTAACTGTATTTTTGAACAGTGATGGGTAATTTCAGCAGTGATTTGGAATGAAAAAAGACTCTTTACCTCCAGAATCTCAATTGTGTACTTTTCCTGTCTTTATATTGTTTCATTTTGACAGAATACTTCAATCATCCATTTCCCATTCCTGCAAGTGTTAACTCTTCTCTATGTACTAGTTACTGGGAATACAGATGAGAACAAAACTATCAAGATTTTTGTTTTTGTGCTGGAAGACATTATAAAACAGTTAAATTGTAGTATAATTTAATTTTATATATTATAAAATATATATAAGATGTATTTATATAATTTAATTTTATATATTATAATTAAATGTATATTGAGAATCATTTGGTTCACAGATCTGGCTCTGCTCTATGAAGAGGAAAGTGAAGAGCCTTCATGGCTTTTTATCGTCTCAGAATAAACTCTGAAGCCTTATAGGAGACACCTGGCCACTGCCTGACATTCTTTTTTATTTCCTTTCTGTTTTCCACCTTCTTGACAGATAACACTGAACTGATTGTGAGTTTCTGTACCTGACACATTCTCAGACTTATTATTTGCCTAACTGTTTGATCCTGTATAAACATTGTGAATGTATCCCTTCCACCAAAAACCATTCCCTGATAATCTGCCAGTTCATTCAAATCTGAGTTAGATACTTCCCTATGACTCTGCAATAGCCTTTCCTCACCTTTTATTGATGAGGTATCCTATTATTTTAAAATCACCTGTATCTGTATCTTCATTATTACCTGTGGGAACAGTGCTTGGCATAGGTACTTGCCATTTTTTTTTATGTTGATCAACTGAAGCATCAGCTTCTTAGCAGTCCAATGCTTTATTAAATGCAACCAGAGTCTAAGGCACTGTCAGTGGTGTGGGAGCGAAGAAGCTAACTACAAGAAATATTTTAAGGTGGAATGTAGAATAGTAGCAGATTAGGTATAAAGAGGGATTTAGGTGGGAAAGTTTTAACTGCTGGGTATAGCCTTATGTGATTGGGAAATTATGAGGGGGGAAAGTAGATGTGGAGCTGTCGTAAAGTCAAGTTGGAGTATACAATGCTAAATATGAAAAGGTAATGATAACTTCACTGAGTACTTGAAATTTGAAAAGCAGATTTTAAGCATCTTTGCTCCACAATGGTAACTGTGAGTGGTGATTTGGATATGTTAATTATATTCTGTTATTTATTACACAGTGTATACATAGTCCAATTATCACATTATATTCCTTGAGTATATATAATTTTTTACTTGCCAGTTAGATATTCTTAAGAGAAAGAACAAATCAGTACACAGTTTAAAAGATAAATATATATCTTGTGAAAAGTTCAGAGCAACAACTAAACACTCAATCCTATTAATGGGCTGAAAAAAATTTTGTTAGCAGTTCACCCCAGAAATATTTTTGTGAACATTTTGAAATAGTTTTCTGAAGTATGGAAAATTGGAAAATAATGCCTCTGAGAAAACTCACAAGTGTCCAATAGGAAAGCCTGCTTTGTTTCCTTCAGTGATTGGCTATCTTATCATTTTCTTAATTAATATTTTTTCTTTTTATTATTTCATCTCTAATATCCACACTATGTGATTAACTGGGTTTTAGTTCTGAAGATCAAACGGATTGCATACCTGTTAATATTTATTTCTCTTCTTGACTCAGTTCCAGATGTTTCGTTTTAAACTTCCTGAGTTTTTTTTCCCCTCCCTTATTGTCACTTTATGTATGCTCTCGTATCAGTGAGCCAAGAGCTGAGTAAGTGCTGTGGTTTGTTAATTTAGAAAACCTTGCGCAAGAAATGTTCTGTCTAGCTTCAGTGACTCTTATGATCAGCTTGGTCATTGTGTCCCTGTAACTAGGAACTCCTATCATGTTCCCTCTCAATTTACTATTTATGAGGCCCAGAAAGGCCTTCTGCTAAGTCTGAAATGCTGTAAATCTTTAATGGCTTCCTCCGCTTTGTGTGGGAGGAGTAGACAGGATAGTAGTTTAATGTGTCTGGCAGCACTGTTTCATTTTGTTGTTTTCCATTAAGTGAGTGTCATCTAATTTTTGTATTAATCTTTATAATACATATTAAGAGTAGGTCCCAAATCAATATCCTTTTCTTCATTGTTCTCCCCATTAGGCTGAATATATGGCAATAAGTCAAGTACCTGAGGGAAAACAAATCTTAACACTTGCCTTGGCTTGCAGAGCTTTGCTAAGGCCTACTGCCTCAGTGCTTCAGAGTAAGACAGAGACTAACAGGTTAGTCAAGTTGTTACTGTCTACCGGACTGACTGAGACTAGGCATACTAAACTGTCGCCTCACTCTGTACAGATGTGGGTGAGTTCTCTCTTTCTCTTGCTCTCTCTGATTCTCATTATCTCTCATTCTCACTCTCTCTCTCTCTCTCTATCGCACACCTTCTTTACTTTTCTCACTTTAGCACAACAGAGATGCAGCAGTACCAAAGGCTCTGTTATGATCCTTTCTTGGGACTCGGAAGCTTATCAGAATCTCCAGGGGTACTTAGTATTTGAAAAGTCCCCCAGGTGTGGTTCTGATTTGTTTCCTTCTCCTGCTCCTCCTCTTCCCTTGGAACTCAGTTTCATCTGAAGCTTCTGCATAAACAGGCGCATTTATTAGCATCTTATTCCTGCATAGTTGAGCTTGTGTGTATCTATATCACATTATTTGCTCTCTGCGTTATCTGCATTAGTCTTTCTAATACTGTAACACTTGAAACCAATGTCTGCAGTTACCAAGGTTAGTTTTTAGGAAGCCAGCAAAACAGGAAAGACTTCATAAAATTCACTTGAGGACTAGGTTTATTTCTGTGTTGGTTGTTTGCTTGTTCAATATTTAGTCCAACCTTTTATGATGAAAAGTTTCAAACCTTTGCCAAATTTGAGTTTAAAATTAATACCTGTTATATCTTCTGCTCAGTTTCTACAATGGACATTACAGAATACCTGCTTATTTATACATCTTTAGAGATATTCACCCGTGAGCTAGCTATTGATTAATCTTTTATGCAATCTGTAGGGAATTGCAGATACCAGTAAAATTCACCCTAAACATTTCAATATGAATATCATGATATAGAGTAGTGTTTTCCATTATCTGTTTATATATAATTATAGTTGTATTCCATCTTTAAGTACCCATTAGTTGAGTTTGAACAAAAGACAAATGTGTATACCCCAAGTCCTATCAACATACATAAGTCTTTATACTCCTTTTTATTTGCCCACCTGCATTATTCCCTCTTCAATTTCTATAACTTCTTAGTTAAAAGTAAGGAATTCTTGCTAGAGTTTACAGGACAAATATAATGAGTATGTCATGATAATTCAGCAAACGTCTCTTCTCCATTTTTGTAAGTAGTTAGATTTTGTAAATGTTTGTGAGTGCTTCAAAACAGGACATTAAGAAATAAACTTATTCTTCAACTTTTAGGGAGGGTGGGATTGGGAGGAGGTGAAGGAAGGGCCCATAGCCATGATACAAATTGAATAAATTGTAATAAATGATAATAATAAAAAAGGGAAAAAGTTATCTTGGCTAGTATTTGGTATAAGTCCTTTGAGCTAATTTAGTGAAGTATTTTATAGCTAAGATGAGCTCTACTATAAGAAAATGCAGGATATTTGAAGTACAGGCAAGATGGGCAAATTATTTAAATATTAATACCAACAGCTTTATATTAAAATATGCTTAATTGTTTAGAAATATATACATAACATCACTAAACATAATAGTCTAACTTGCCATTTATTCAGTGTTATGCCATGTATTCAATAATATCAGCAAAATCCAAATTCAGTTCCTTTTTCATTGGTCTTGGTGGTGGTCATTTTATTTTTAATTTTGCCTGTTATAAATCCCTATTTGGCTTATTTAGAATAATTGAGAATGCTTTATTTTGTACCAGAATATTTTAAATATGATATGAGTGTGAGATAATTTGCCTGCATTTTTGTGAGGACTAGCAAAAAATAATCCTGGCACCAAAAGAACCTGTGACAAAAGCAATTTATATTTCCATAATAAAAAGATATAGCAAACATACAGTCATTTACATATAGTTCCTGAAATATTACATTGAGGCTTTTCTAGTGTTGGTAACTCTGTTTCAAGGATGTCGCCCTTAGTCCATTAGTTTGGATAATGAGCCCTATAAAGTACATTTATAACTTGTGGCATTGCAAGGAGATGGATTCTAATTTTCATCCTTTTATCTAGACACATTGAAAGAAGGTCAATGGAGGGTTCTATATGATTCATTGTCCCAACACATATCAGATGACAGAGACCTGATAATGTCCATGCGTAAGTGTTTTCCTTATATTGGAAACAGCACTTGAAAGAAATTTTTTTCCATGATCGTCCTTTGAAGTAAAGTGGAATCAGATATTCAAAGACGCTCTATCCCTTTTTTTCCTATTTAAAACATTATCAAATGTGTGGCCAGATAGCTATTCTTAAACAAAAGAAAAAAGCAACACTTAACAGAAAAATAAAAAGCTGTGAATGGTGCAACATGATATTTAATCAGCTTTACTTTTCCTCTTAGAACTGTTAAGGGTAGAAAAAAGAAAGCTGATTTTTCTAAACAAAGGAAGAGCTTCTGTGTTTCTAAATGTGAGGAAAGCTTGGAATTATGCAATGATGTTCTGCTGGCCTTAGACCTATGGACTAATAACAATAAAAATAAATATTTATGTAACAGTTTACATTCATTTACAGTTTAAAAGATATCAGAATGACAACCAGAACTTATCAGTAATCCAGTGTCAGAAAATGTAGAGTAGTTGCCATTTCTTTGTAAGCTTCACAAGGTTTCAAATTCAAAATCAGCAGTTCATTATTTTATTTTCTCAATTCCTTCATCATTAATATGATCTTTTCTTCTATGCTTATCTTCTTTGTAGATGTAAAGCAATGATAGATCAGTTTGGTCAAAGAATAGTCTCTAAACATTTCATTATCGAAGACAGTTACCTTTCTGAGAAAACGTGTTCCCGTGTACAATACAGGTAAGGTGCCTTCCACCCATTATGCAAAGGAAGGGAAAACCTCTTCCTTTGTATGAGTATACTGACGGTTCTCATGATTCTGTTTTTCAAGTAGCGTGTAGAGGTAAACCAATCCAAAGGTATACATACTCTATTTCTTACCATTCTTCCCTACTTTGTTCTACTTTGAGGGGGAGCCTAGCATAATTTCTTCTTTGTGTCAGCTGGAGTTTTTTCTGTAGGTCATGCATCCTTCTTTCTTGAGCCAAGAAAAGATTAAAGTAGAACTTGACTGGGTTTTGACACTTTTATCCTTAAATTTTTGAAACCTTCCTTCTGCTGGTTACATATAACAATAAATGAAACTTAGCTGTGGAATCTGAACCACTGCTTTTCTCTTTTGTGCATTACAGGCAGATATCCAGGGCAGTCCTGATTACAGATGGATCTGTACTAAAAACGGATTCAGATCAACAGGTGATTTAGTCCTCTCATTTTCTTTAGAATAAAAGCTGTGTGTTAAGAAATATATGCACATGATTAATTTATTAATGCAGCCAAACTAATTAACATGTTTATCTTTGCATAACTTTTTTTTGCAAGAACAGTGAAAATCCACTTTTATCAGATTTTAAGTTTATAATATAGTATTTTTATAACATGGTATTAGTAGCTATAGCTCCTATGCTGTATATTAAATCTCTAAAACTAAATTTTCATATAATTACTTGCCAAGCAAGTACCTTTCACTCAGAAGCCAGAGTGTTGTCCTCCTTGGAGAACCTGGTAACTATGATAGCATGGCTGCTTTCAAATACCTTGGGGGCACAGATACAGACAATTAAAAAGTACAGTTGGGTGTTACAAGGATTAGTGGTGTATAGTTAAGGATTAATGGCATCACATTGATTTGCCATTGTTGGTTGCTATGTCTGGATCACCCATTGAAACATAGGCTTTGTGAATACACCCATGGGTAACAGGGAGACAGAACTGTGAAGAGAGCAAGCAGAGACAATTCTTTGAAGACGCTAAGCTGTAAAGTATGAGATAGGAACTGGTCCCTAAGAGGTATGTGTTAGTGAATACAGCTATCTTTTAAGATCTTGCCATGTATTTTAGCTGTTTGAATGGAGTCAGCCAAGGAGTTGAGATACAAAAAAGAAAGTTATTGACAAGTTGTTGAAGTACAATCAAAAGTCAGAGAGGAGCCAGGCAAAGCACTGGCCATAGAAAAGTGATGTATGTTGAAATAAGAGGGTGAAAATGGAACTGTTTGTAAGTTTGTAAGTTGGGGGATTCCATTGTTTAAGTTACAAATGAAATCCTCTCCTAAGTATGAGGCTTACAAGCAACTCAAGCCTCAAAGGAAGACATATAGTGGAAAGGCTTGCTCTAAGTACATTTTGTTGAGCAGTCTCAATGGTCCAGTCAAGGCTGATGATTATAGATTTACAGCATCATGAATCTATTCCACCCCTCCCATCTCTTTTAATCTTTTATTCCCATTCCGTCTGTTCATAGATGGAATTTTTACATCTTCTGATTCTCATCATCTCTAATCCTTTCCTTTGCCATATATACAACACTGGGTACTTCTAACATCCTCAGTTCTCATGTTGCCAGGACCTTCCACTGCAACCACAGAGGTAAATCTCTTTCCCATGTTTTGTTATTAATTGTATCTGTATCACTGAGGGCCACTTGAAAAAACTACATAACCAAACACATTGGCCCTTCCACAAAGTTGCAGTATCAGCTTTATTTAGCTGAATCTTGTTCACATTACAAATTCTTGCACTCTCTTTTGATCACCTGCCTGTTCACCTCAATAGCTAGTACCAGTCTTTACTTTCTAACCTGCAATGTTAATCTTCTTCTTTCTCTGGTAAAGTGCACAAAGATACTTGAATTTCTACCCACCACTCACAATATATGTATACCATCCCAAGGGTGATTGAGTAGTTTGTCTTTTCCTTTGTCCATAGTTAACCTCCTTCACAGATGCCTTTTATTCATGCATAAACACTTATATGAGCATACCACATACATAAAAATCACTCTTGCATGACAAATACAGACACATTCACTGAATTTTAAAATTAAAAACAAACAAAACAATGAGATTTCTTGACTTTGTCTTCATCTCTACTGAGGACTCAGCCTCTCCCTTCTTTTTAATAGCACTTTCTATTAAACTGAGGGTGCCTCCAGCTCCTGAATTCCCAGTCATTTCTAAACCACTATCTGACTTCTGCCTGTACCTTTCTATCACAATTTATCATACTGAATACATTAAAAACCATAATATTCAGGATCAGGAGACATTTTTTTATTGTTTTCAGCTAGTATTTTCCTGATAGTTTGGACAATATTTTTTGCTCTTTGTCTTAAACTCTATTGACTTCCATGCTCTGTTCTCTCCTTCCTCATAACACTGACTGCTCCTTCTCTCTCTGAAGCTCTTTTTCTTTTGTCCTATCCTTTATTACCAAAATTATCTCTTCATCCAACTTCATTTACTTCTCCCTGCACATATAACATGTATTCACATAGTATCAACTTCACCTAAATGTTGGACTACCTGCTGGAAGCCCAGGGGTACCAGGACCATATGCCAAGGTTCTTTTGGATATCTGTGAAGAGATAGTCTCTTAAAGCTTAAGCCACCATCCTGTGTTTTCCCACTGCTTGTTATCTAGTGCTCACTGGCCCTGAGAACAAGGTTGATATTTTTCTAGCCAAACAAACTTCCTTCTCACTGACATCCCCTCAACCTTTGAGTCTTATTCATTTACTTCATAAAATTTATCTCAGTTCTTCACTTTTTCATGGTTAATTTGCTGCTTCCATGTATACTATCTCTACCTTCTAACTTATCTTCGTTCTTCAGATACATACTCTGCACAGTTAGTCTTTTATTTTCTCCAGGCCCTTCCTCCCTTCTTGTCTTTTCCTGTCTCTCTTCCCATTGCTCTTTATATCTTCATTTTGAATTTCAGGGAGAAGTAAGAAGCTTCGAGAACAGGGAAAAAAAGAGGTAGACAGTGCAGGCACACTTCATGGTGATTAGAGAGTGAAGGAGATTCTCACTTAACATTTCTGTGACACTTGAGACAGTCAACTTCTCAATGTTCAGGTGAGAGAGGTGCTCCAGTAGAACAATACTGATTGTATCATAGTAATGAATCATGATAATTGCAGGAACCAAAAGAAATTCTATGTTGTTAGAGTAATTAAAGGGAAGTTTTCAATTATGGTCATATTTTAGTCCTATTCATTTCATTATTTCACAGTGTTCAAAGTCTTGGTGGTTTCTGTATCTTCGATGCTAAAATACATTTTTTATCATTAAAAGCAGCAGAGGGTTGGGAATTAAGAGGAACATAGAGACTTGTTTTTGTGGTATCATATGACAAATAATAGATGGCAAGTAGGACAGTCATTGCTATCAAAACAATTTCTACTTTAAAAATGTGGTGTAATTGCTTCCTATTTGGGTTGTGAATATGGCCTTCCTAGTCAAAATACAAATACAGCATATGTAGGGAAAAGTGAAAAGGGGGCTTTCTTTTCAACTAGGATTTTGGTTAAAAGGATATAATATCTTCGAAGTTTTAATTGTAGAATAACACTGAAACCTTAGCTCTGTAGAAACATTGGTCAGATGATCATGTAAAGTCTTTAAAATCTTAGCCATATAACATACCAATAGTAGATAAGACCACTTATTTATATAATATGATTTCAAGGAGCAGATTGCTTATATTTGAATAGTAATATTATAATATTATAATTGCATTTCTTTGTGAATAGTATGTGATATGTTATGAATGAAATCAGTGTTAAAAATTTTAATTACTCATGGTTGGTGATAGTCATATAAACATAATGAAGAATGAAGAAATTGGATATTGAGACGTGTGTTGCAAATTTTATATTTTACTTCCAAATGAAATCATTATAAGCCAAATGCTTTCAAGTATCAAAGGATATTTATGAAATTGGAAGTCAGCTCTGTAAAGATAAAAAATGAAAGAGACCTAACAGTTATTTCTGCTACTTGTTCCTGGTTTTCAGGTCTCCATTTTAACAGTGCCAGCAGAAGAATCAGGAAGTTTTGCTGTTCGAGTCATTGAGTTATGCTCTTCAACAATGACTTGCATGAAAGGCACATGTAAGCAGAGTAATCTCTCTTTCTCTCTCGATCTCTTTCTCAATACTGATTTTCAGACTTTTAATTTGTTATTAAAATTTTACTGATATATAATGCAAAAATACATATTAGATAATAGACTGTTTTGATACATATATACATGTATAGTGTATTATTTAATGTTGGGAGGATTCTATATACAATTTTTTTCATCTGTAAGCAGTGGCATTTTACAATGTGCATACCTTTTATTAGTGCATCTTGACTGATGATTCTAACTAGAGCATTTAACAATGTAATAAATAGAAGCAATGAATGTGGATGTGTACGTTTTTAAAAATATACTTCTCCCCCTTTTTATCATACTGAGTTTTGAACATGCAGCTTCATGTATGCTAGGTGATCTAGAACTAAGCCACTACTTAAGCCTTAGCTATTCGTCGTTGACTTTAAAACAGTTTCTTTGCTCATGTACAAAAAATGAACCTCAAGAGTGATAAACGTATGGAATTAACTTGACATTAATCATAATAATTATTTTTACAGTGCTTAACATTTGTCCAGTACCCTAGAGAGAAATGGGTTTCCCTTCTGTGTCTCACTTCCTCTAGGTACATGTGAGTTCAAGTTTCCAGGACATAGCAAAATAGCGCCACCATCTGGGAAGCCAGTGTTCAATGCACAGAACTTTGACAAACACTCCATGTCCAAATTATAACAATACATGACTCAATTTAGCAAATGGGATATTTATTTTTATATCACTGTAATGTATAAATGTTTTACATGATTATGACATTTGACCAATTTGTTCTTTGTTACTTTTCAAGAATTAAGATTAGAAAGAATTGTGATATCTGTCTTTCTGGGTCTTGGTTACTTCACTCATTATGATCTTTTCTAGTTCCATCCATTTACCTGCAAAATTCATGATTTCATTTTTCTTTGCAGATGAATAGTATTTCATAGTGTATATGTACCTCATTTTTATTGTCAGCTGAAGGACATGTAAGATCTTTCCATTTCCTAGATGTTGTGAATAGAACAGCAGTGAACTTGGTTAAGCAAGTATATCCGGAGTAGGATGTTGTATCCTTCCGGCGTGTGTAAAGAAGTGATAGAGGTAGATCAGGTGGTAGATTGATTTATAACTAGTGTGGGGTTCTTCACACTGATTTCCACAGTGGCTGGACCACTTTGCAATCCCACCAACAGTGAGTCAGAGTTCATTTTTCCTGCATTCTCTTCATCATTTGTTATTCGTTGTTCCATGTCTTCGATATTCCAATTTGCTAAATTCCATAAATGCAGCGAACGTTTTTTGAGATATTTCTCTGTCTTTATCTAACTCTGATTTTTGAGTTCTTTATATTCTGGATAGTAATCTTCTGTCAGACATGGAGCTGGCAGACATTCTCTCCCATTTTGTGGGCTTCTGAGTGTTTTTAAAGCATTTAATATAAATCCTCTGAACAACAAAGCATATAGTAAATGGCAGCTGGTATTAATATATTATAAATACACTGAGCTATGGATTCCACATTTAGCAAAATACTATATATATATTTAATTTGCTTTTTTAATTTTTAAAAAATCATTTATTTTTCCTCTTTCATCTCTCTCCACCTTCCTACCCATCCATTTTTTTCTCTGCTCTTAAGAAATGTAAATCAGAACAATATAAATAAATGAACATTAAGAAAAAACATCCCAAACAGAACAAAAAGGAAGGAAAAGTTTACTTTAGGTTTGGCAGCTACTCCTGGGTATGGTGCCTGCCTTTTAGTATGGTTGAAAAGCCCAGTGACACTCCACTGGAGAAAACTTATTCTCCCTTTTCTATAAGGTATTAATTGCATAGGAAATGTAATGAGAACACTAGTATTATAGAAAAAAAAAACATTGGTTATTTTGCTTTGGTTCCATTTCTTTTTTAATTTTTAATTTTTTGTTCACAATTTATTCATTATATATCCCAATTGAAGCCCCCTCCCTCATGTCTCCCCAGTCGCACCCTCCCTCATCCCCTATCCCCTTCCCCTAGGCCACTGAAAGGGGAAGTTCTCCACTATTGCTATCAGCCCATAGCTTGTTAAGTCTCATCAGGACTGCCTGGATCCTCTTCCTCTGTGGCCTGGGAAGGCCACATAGTAGGGACAAGTGATTAAAGAGCAGTCAACCGATTTGATGATAGAGGCAGCCCCTGATCCCGTCACCCAGAGATCCACATGGAGACTGAACTGCCAATTGGCCACATCTGAATAAGTGATCTTGGTCTTCTCTACATATGGTCATCTGTTGGTGCATCAGTCTCTGCAGGACCCCCTGGGCTCAGGTCTTTTAGTTTTGTTGGTCTCATTGTGGAGCTCCTGTTCCCACCATGTTACTCTGTTCCCACCCCTCTCTTCTTCCAACAGGATGGGAGCCTACTCTAGAGGGTCCTCTGAAAGGATTCACCCAACAGGGGATCAAAGCAGGTGCTGAGACTCAGGGTCAAACTTTGGGCAGAGCACAGGGAGTTTTATGGAGGAAGAGAGGGGTGGTTCAGTTTCTTAATTTATTGTGTCTGGCTTCTTCACTATAAGTTTCTGTCAATGTTTTATTTTAAAGAGTTTAATTTGTGGCTGTGTGTATGTATTGCTAGAAATGCATATGCTAAACAACTGATCTACCTCCCAGCCACATATTCTACCCTGCAGATTTCTAAGTCTTCATTAGAAAGTAGACTAAATGATTTTTAAAGAAATCAAGCTGTACACCCCCCCCCCCCCAGAATTTACATGTAGGAAAGAAACCACTAGTCGTGTAGGGTTTTTTTTCCTCTAATATATGACAGTATTTTAATCACACTGGCAAAGACCTTTTGGCTTCTGAAGCCCTTGCTTTTCTCACTTGTTTCTGCCTTGATAAAATTGTATCTTTGATTTTTACTTAATCACTTTTTATCAATACAATACCAGGAATGTAGACAAATGCACTGGCTGTTTTTCTCTTGTTTCTAGCCTAAAAGAGATAAATTCATTGCTTATACTTTGCCTTGTTGCAGAGAAAAAGAGAAGTTCTTGATCATTTTAAATCGTTTTCTTCATTCATTATGCAGTATGTGTTATAAATTAATAGTTAGAGTTAATGTTTGATAAATATGTAGCAAGATTAAGAACAATACCCAGATAGAAACTGACACATTTATCATTTACTTACTATTGCTTAATTAATATTTAACTTCTGTCTTTTATTTCCTTTATGCTTTGAGCTTATTCACAAATATTCAGGAGCAATTTGTAACTCAGACATTAAAAGATCTTTAATGGCATATTTTCTTATTGCTCCCTTACTTACGAGTCCGTGTTGTCACAGATAGTTTCAAATTGTTTCCTTCTTTATCAGTCTTCTAAAATAGTATTAGTCTGAAAATATCAAAAAAGGCTTCCTGTTGTCTTTATTTCCTTCCATCCATCCATCCTTCCTTCTTTCCTTACTTCCCTTCTTTCTTGTATTTCAAGTTAGAAGAAAAAAAAAAAACAGTCAAATATACCATATTTTTATTTTGTGTGTTTAAACCTACTCCTACCTTATTTATTTTTCTCCTTTGAAGTTCTCTGATGATGAATGTATTACTTCACTCAGACTGTTACACTAACCACTACTGCTCAATCTCTTTTGAGGATTTTCTCTTTTCTCCTGAAGCCTTGAATAAATCACATTGTGGACACAATAGAGCATGTTCTTAAAGTTTGCATAATTATCTTCTCAGACTAATTCAAAAACATAATTCAAGCCTTTCTCTTATCAAGCAGCCTGGAAAATGCTAAATAGAACTATGTGATATTTTAAGAGCCCACATTTTAGATTCTGTCTTCTGGATTTTTCATATTTATGCTAATTATGTTAAACTGTGAATGATAATTCAGGTTGCTTGTGATGTATAGATATCAAAAAGTAAAATAACGTTCCTGTGGGGCACGTAGGGAAGGACGGTCTTCCTTTTCTTTCTTTATTTTATTTTTTTTAAATATTTGGTTGTCCTCAAACCCACAAAGATTCCCAAGCTTCTGCCTCCTTCCCCTGTGCAGGCATTAAAGGCTTGCCTATCTTGATTAATGCGATTTCCTTCCACTGACTTTTTCACATTGGCTTCCTACCCTTCAGCAGTGGGTGCAAGGTTGTAGAGAAGCTCCAGGCTCGAAGTTCCTGCAAACCAAAGGGAGAAAAGGAATGGGGTGTCATCTCCAGCCTCTCATCACTGAGGAAGTATAGATCTCTTTTTATCCTCCCTTATGTTCTTGCCTTCAGGATTGTGCTAATTCTGAGTGTGGCAACAAGTTCATTTCCATTTACCCTTTGAATTTGGAATAATAATCTATTAAACTGTAAAAAAAAAAAAAAACAAGTAAAATAACATTAAAGAATAATTCTTACATGTTGTATGAATTTTGTATGGTTTCAAGTATTTAACTATAAATGGATTTTGAAGAAACTATTTCCACTGTGCACAATTACTTAAAATTAATAGAAAACACTTTTCTAGCTGATGACATTATATATATATCATATAATTTGATCACTATTTCCAGTAAGTGGAACCAAGCACGTGAACTTGCTCTAAACTCAGGCTATTAATGATGGAATCCTGAGTTAAAATCATCGTTCTTTTATTTGAAGAATCACTTGACAAGTGTTGGCAAGCATTATAACTAATGCAGTTATACCTGAGTAAATTATATGTAATCCAAATATATTCTAGTGAGACCGATTGTATCAGTTCCTCAGAGGAAACAAAATAAAATTTATAGAACATAAAAAATGTGAACTTTGGTTATTTAAGGTATAGTTGTTAAAGAAATGCATCTTAAATTTTTCAGAGATTACCCAAAATCATGTTAACTCATTTATAAGATGCACTTAATACAGAATTGTGACTTTTATGATCAAGGTGGGCAAAGACTTAAGGATTGAAAGATTCAGAGATATTAAAAATTATTCAAGTTAGCTTGTTCTTTTAACATATGCTTGATACAAGC